TTTGATATAACCTCAGTAGTTTCCCTGCACGCGGACAACTATGTACTTCTAATGAACTGGGGGAATGTTTGGCTATTAAACGTGGGAAAAATGAAAAATACCAGAGGATTCGAAAGAGGCCTGGTACTCATATCGGAACGCAATTAACAATTAACTCATTTCTAAGACAAACACATGAATTATTTGCTATATTGATGACTAGCGACCAGACTCATTGTTCAAGACTAGTCGGTTGGTTATATATGATTCCCAGGTGATTGATAATCTTCTTAGTGGGACTCAAAATCTGGCACTCATCATTTCTAATGTTCCATCCTCTTGGCTACTTAAATATTATTATTATTCCCTTGAGTTCCGAGTGGAACATACAGCTTCAACAACACATCTCCACTTTCTTCTATTTGCTGCTGTCCTCTTCAGCTCACCTACAACTCACACGATCTCCTCCATGTCACCCTCGCACTGATGACACACTCGTCGCTTCCTTTTTGAATTCCACTCAAGCACTGGCCTACAGTAAGTGCGACGGCTCCTCAGTAGCGTATGCCGGACGTATCCATCTCCATTTTCTCTTACATATTTGTTGAGCAATTGGCTATTGGTTGGTTTGTTCCCGGCCAGAGTTTCTTGTTGCTAATTCCTTCTATCAGCCATTTGATCTTCAGTATGGAGCCAGCCAGCGAAGGGGGCAGCTGTTGATAAAGGTCTGTAACTTGTTGGAAATCCTTTTCGTGACGCAAACGCAGTGCAAGTTTCTGACCCGTACAGAAGAACTAACTGGTTTAAGATTGATGTTGAAAATTCGAATCTTGTTGTTTATGCTGAGGTGGAGTGCAGAAGATTTCCAAACTGGTTTCAGGCTGATGAAGATGTATCCCGCCTTTCTGATTCTGGCCTGTTTTGACATCTTCATCCATGCTGTCCGAATTTCTTTGGTTGAAACTGTGCTTCCTACATAAGTGAAGGATTGATTATATTGTCAGCTATCACGAAACAAGTGCAATCAAGTTAAATATTAAGGCGAAACAGATACATCCGTTAATGAAATTGTCGTGAGCCGAAATAAGACCAATCAGTGCACTTGAGGAATTACAAGCATAAACAAGTCATACTTAGATGATTATTGAAGATGGAATTTCGCTTCATACCAGTGTCTGTAAATGACTGAAAAAAATGGTGATTAGCGCACGTGTAATAACTTTTGTGCGTCGGTGGCACAGTGGTAGAATGCTCGCCGGCCATCCAGGTGGTCCAGGTTTCGACCCCCGGCCAACGCCCTCCCTTATTCCGCTAAGCCAGTAGTAAGACTGGTAAAGAGGAATGGTTGGGCATGAGGCTAGCAACCCCATCCTGTAAAAATAATCACCACTGATACAGAAACTTGAAGCTTCTAGCTTTAAGCTCTATGTCCCACTGGGAATGTAAAGTATTAACTTTTACTAACGATTGAGAATCGAAACAAAACAGAAGTAGAACTGAGTATCCAATCAGTAACCACTTGCATTTTCATACAGTTGATAATGTCCTATATGTATTTTGTGAGGTTGAATGATCTTACCCAGCTTCCCGAATATCGAAAGTTGGAATAGGGTTCCAACGCTTACACTGATGGTTGTTGATTGTCAACCGACCCATAGATCTACAACAAATTAAGGTTCTTAATTGTTATCATCCTAGATTCGAATTAATATTCACTGAGTGGATGGATCATTTATATGAAACCTTAGACTATTACCATAACATGCACAACTGTCTATTAATAGATTCAGTTTGTATAGTACTTGTGTATCTACCAATTTAACTGCTCCTGTGGAGTGAGCCAGTTAGTTGCATAGGCCGTACAGTTAAGCGTGTTTCTCGTTGGATTCCCGAACATCACCTTGCATGTTGGTTAAGTAAGATGCTGCTACAGGACTGGACTACGTCAACTCCTAGCTTAGTGATAGGGAGTGAAATGATAGAACATGTTGACCACTTCACCTATTTGGGAAGTTGTATCAGCATCAACGGATTGATTGGTGACGAAATCTCAGCACGGATCCAAAAAGCTTGGGCTGCTTTCGCTAACTTACACCATCTCTGGCGTAGGCGTGACATCCGGCTATCAACCAAAGGACGTGTGTACTGCTCAGCAGTTCGCTCCGTCCTTATCTATGGCAGTGAGACGTGGCCACTGAGAGTGGAAGACATGAAGAGATTGTCTGCTTTTGACCACAGATGTTTACGATCTCTTTCTCGCGTTAGGTGGTATAATAAGGTAAGTGATGTTGACGTTAGGCGTAGAGTGTTGGGCAAAGAGGGAAAATCACTCGAAGAGGCTATAAAGTTACATAGATTGAGATGGCTAGGTCACGTGCTGCGCATGCCTAACCATCGCCTCCCCCGACGGACATTACTAGCTCATATAGGTGCAGGTTGGGAAAGAGTAAGTGGTGGCCAAACAAAAACATGACCTCATCAATCCATGAAATCCCTGACAGTCAGGTAGCGAGATGCAGACTTCCGGGTTGGGGCCCGCCCTCGGGACTCTAAGAATCAATGGCTGGAGACAATAGGTGACATGGCTCAAAATCGTTGTCAATGGCTTACGCAGATGTATTCAGTCTCTGTAATCTTTCATATTCCTTTCTATCATTACTCATTCTGTTTCACTCTTATACTTATCTAAATTCTATTGATTCTCTTCTCTCATTTTCTTGTCTACTTTTGTGTGCTATTTGGAACGTGGCAACTCGAACTGCTGCACTTCGGTACCAAGTTCTACGTTGAATCCAGCCAGCCAGCAAAGGACAAACAGAATCTATTCGTAGCGCTATTCTATCTCAACTTGGGGATACAGAACACAAGATTGTTGTCAACAAGGTGGCTTTCAAAGTCATTTACCGCATACTAACAAATCTTAACTTCGACTTAAGAGTTCGTTTACTAAATATAGTTGAGGCCGGCCGTTGGGATCCACATTAAGAAGCTTAATTTATGTTTCCAAAGTAAAAAGCTAATTCAGACACTCTCCTTACCTTGGCCATCAAGGTTCTAATAATCCTTAATTTGTTGTGGAAATTTCCTTGATTTTATTTGATATTCTATTTGCTATTATATTTTTACTAATACTATAATTTAAGCAACTTTAATGAACTGTAATCCCATTGAGATCTTACTTAACAAATCGATATTATTTAAAAAACATTAATACTGATATTGACGACTATTCTAGAATATTCTATGTATATAAACATATATACATATATACAATTGTAGAGCCAGAGGAGGAAATTATCGAAAAGGATATTCTTTGCTCAATTATTTTGTGTTGTATAGATGTTTGAATGAATATTTTCGCTAAATTTGTTTCTCTCTTTATTCTTTTAAATTTAGAAGTGTTTAGTGCCGGGTTACAGTATTACTTGTCGTGTAACATTCTTGCCCAATGAACCTCGATATTATGAAGATTGTATACGCGTACATACTGAAGTTAGTTGAAGTATTATGCTGTCTTTTTATTTCATTTCTGTACACAGAATAGTAAAACATTTATTTGTTCGCTGTACATATATATGTACATACATATACACATATATATATATGTCGTGAATCGGCAGAAGTTCGAATCCACCAGCTGAATAGTTAATGGACAGGGCTAAATAACATGAAAGTCCTTATTTATTTATATGTGTAAAACTTGGGCACTGTGATAGAAAGTAATTCCACATTAGTTAGTTTATTAGATGTATCACACGGACTGTGAAACAGTATTATTATTCACTCGATGACACAGTTTCAAACACAATTTATTACTGTTCGTAATCATATCAATTTATAATCACATGACTTCGAAACTTGAGTTTTATAGTTTCCTTTGTTCTCTCCTATTTGTCGTCATAGGGGGTAGTAGAATTTTCCAGATATCTGGGTGGACAGGTGTTGAATCATTCTTATTACACGTGTTGGTTTGCAGTTGATTCGATAAACAAAGCTTCCGTTATCAATCTCTCCCTCCACCCTGTGACATTAGATTTTAAAACTGTCATCTTATCCCATCCAGCCTATTGTATGGTTGTGTGTAATTGCATGTAGTGAGTGCTGTGTCTGAACTATTCTCTAGATTTCTTATCTTATTCCGGTCAACGCTCTACAGGATCCTTTAAAACAAAACAATTTAGTTTATCTAATAACCTGCCTGCAATGACTGTCAGGTCGAATACATAGGTCAAAGTAGTAGAACAGGTGCAGTCAGTCAGACTAGTCAAGCATAAAAATCTAGCAAAATCTAGATTAGGTGACCCGAATAAGATAAGAAATCTAGAGAATAGTTCAGCTATACCACTCACTACATGCAGTTACACACAACCATACAATTGGATGGGATAGGATGACAGTTTTAAAATCTAATGTCACAGGGTGAATGGAGGGAGAGATTGATAACGAGAGCTTTATTTATCGAATCAACTGAGAGAGAATACGTGTAATAGGAATGATTCAACATCTGTCCACCCAGATATCTGGAAAATTCTACCACTCCCACGATGACGAATAGGAAAGAATAAAGAAAACTATAAAACTCAAGTTTCAGAGTCGTGTGATTATAATTGATATGATTATGAATGGCAATAAGTTGTGTTCGAAACGTCATCCAGTAAATAATACTCTTTCACTTTGTGATACATCAAATAAACAAACTAATATGTGAAAGTCCTTAGTTACATCACCGATCGGGGATAGTGAGTGCATACTACTGAAGAGTCCCAAATTGAGACGAAACAGTTATACAGTACTTCCTGATTCGTCTTCGATGGTTTTCTAACTGATGTCAGTTGGTGATCTAACTTCTGGAAATCAAAGCTTAAAATGTACATTAGTTGTTTCCGCCAATAACTCAGTAGTGAAAATGTCTTTGACTTCAAGACTTCATCAGGGCGATTGGAATGCCTGAGAGAATGTCGGCACTTCCGAAGTTATAGATATGCTTTGCTAAAAAGTGCTGAAAAGCACGAAATTCATCGACTGCTTTTAACCATTGAACATGAATCTATAGTATCAGTGTGATTTGTTAGTCTTTGTATTGACGTTCGATTTTAAAGCCTTTAAAGATGATTGGATTTCGTTGAGTAGATAAACTATTGAATTTTGCTTTTTATTTGGACCTGAGAATAACAACAAGATTAACAGTGAAAGTTCCGAGAATGAAAACTAAAGCTTTAAAATAAAATAAAGTTCCTAGAGAGTTCCCAAAGAAACTTTAAATTTTAGTGAATAAAAGTAACCATTTAATAGTTAATCCGATACAGATCAAGCTGCATTAGTAATAATAACTAAGTGAAAGATAAATGAACTTTGATTTCTTCTTTAGTTAATTAGATTAGATTATTCTTGAGTTTCTCCGTTGAACCAGGAGAATAGTGGGTTACAGCAAGTCGAGTGTGAGGACAATTACTCGCCAGAGATGTCATTGGCTAGTGCCAGTCCCTCTATATCGTCAACTGGCAGAAGTTAGAATTCATGGACTGGACATTGGACCGAGTCTCACTGACTTAGTGGTTTACGAGTTCGCCTTGTAACCAGAGGGTCCTGGGTTCGAACCTTGGCGGTGGATGCGTACTACTGAAGAATCCCAAACTAGAATGACGAAACAGTACTGGCTATACAGTAATCCCTAATGGTTTTCCAATAGTTCTCTAACTAATTGTTGGTATTAGATGGTTAGAGGCAATCAATAGGAAGCCTTAGACCCAGGTTTCATGCTAGTTGGTACTCGTCAGCGAGGCGTATCTGCAAACTTGAAGGAACAAATGTCCCTTATGAGATTCAAACCCGCATCACCCAGTACATCCTGCAGTCAGAGACGTCACCACTGAGGAGCTATTGGGGCTCGCGATTGACCTCCTGTAGGACTGTATTGGATACTTTTGATTGGACACTAGTCAGTAACTAGTGTAATGTGTCTAGTCCTTTCTTTGGTGTAGACTGAATTCTATCAGTCAAGTTTGCAATGTGGCCACCATGCCACTAGGTGGCTGGCCATCACGGTGCACTGCCGACTGCCTCCAACCATCTAATACCGACAACTCACACTGCACCGTGATGGCGAGCCACCTAGTGGCATGGTGGCCACATTGCAAACTTGACTGAGAATAGTAATAACTTCACTCAGAAGTTCTGAAATTACTTTTCTTTATGAAGTATTTGACGCATAAGGCATAGAAATTTTCATCTTCTCCTTCAACAAAGCCAATAACAAATCAAAATTATATATCTAGAAAAAAATATAGATAAAACATTACAATTTATGTGAATATTTCTCAGAATTCAAACATTATTTTTTGTTGTTGCGTTTTTCCACCTGCAAACTATAAATACAGGATCATGAAAATCAGTTAATTATACCAATTTATGCATATCCTGTGATTGGTGATTTTGAATTTCCTGATTTCATCGAATTACAACCAACTGCAATTGGACAAAAGTGAGTTGTGTTGATTTCCTCTGTAGAATTCCTTGTGCACCTTACCTAATTTACTTATATCTGACACTTAAAAATAGTGTCAATTTAATTCCTACTGATATAAGTATAAAACTTGGGCACTGTGGTGGTAGAGTATAACTCCATTATGGATAAGATTTTATTTTGATAAATCACACAGTAACACATTGAAACCAGAACGTCTTGAGTTCAAATCTCGATGGATGCGCACTACTGAAGAATCCCAAACTAGGACGAAACAGCTGTCCAGTAGTCCCAGGCTTTACAGTGGTTCTCTAACTGATGCCAACTCATGATGAAATCCTCCATCCAATCAAATAAAATCCCTGCAAAACCAATACTTGAAAATTAATCTGATGCTCACTGGCAACTTGCGCTATTCAGGCAGTTAGCCTATGGTTTTAGTGGGAAGCCATGACCAGTAGGGTACAGCAGGTTGAAGATGAGGCAGTAACTCATCGAAGAAGACATTGCGAAATAGTCGCGCTATGTCGTGAATTGGCAGAAGTTAAAATTCATGGGCTGGTCATTGGATTGCATCCCCGTGGCTCAATGGTCTACGAGCTCTTCTTGTAATCAGAAGGTCCAGGGTTTGAACTCTGGTGGTGAGTGTGTAGTCTTTAACAGTCCCGAACTTGAATGAAACAGCTGTCCAGTAGTCCCAGGCTTAACGGTGGTTTTTTAACTGATATCAGCTCATGATGAAATCCTCCATCAAATCACACAGTGTTGTTGTTATACAGTAATATTTAATGATGACCATGTTTCGAGCACAATTTATTACTGCGGCTCATAAGCATATCAAGGTACTCACTTACACAACTTTCTTGCTTCGTCGTTTATATACATGAGTAAAAATTGATGATTAGACATTTGAATAAAATCAGTATAGGATAATGTACATTCAGAAATAATATTAATGTTATCAATCGAATACAGTCAGATGGAAAATAAGATGTTTTCATAGTAAAATAAATAAATAACTTGTTAGAATGTTATAATGTGAATTGAATTGAATACATTTTAAGATTATTTATTATCCTCCTCTGTTTTAACTGGTGGTAATAATATCTTCCATACATATCTGCGGTATTTGCGTTGAGTCACTTCTGTTGCGCATGTGTTGGGTGTAGACTCAATGAACCAGGATTCAGTGATCAACCACCTCTCTCTCCACCAACGTATGTTACTTCTTAGAATTTTGACTCTGTCACAAACACCCTTTTGTGTGGTTGTGTGTTAATGCATGCAGTGCGATTGCTTAGCTTTTTTCTAAATTACTTATTTTCGTGGGATCAATCATTCTAACCTTACCTAAATTCTTATGTTCTGACAATCTGATCACACCCGATTTACTAATTTGACTGACCTATGTAGTTGACTTAACTCACAGTCGTTGTAAGGTGTTTTGTAAATTATATTATTTAGTTTAACTGGGTCCACCGGGTCCTTTAGCCTACAGGGGTTGTCCCATCTCAGTGAATTTGTAGGTTTGTATTTTATCTTCCTCTCTGTTTCACGCAAGTCTGATACTGATTTTATTCATGTGTCTAATCATCAATTTTTACTCATGTATATAAAGGAAGTCAGAAGGTTGTGTCAGTGAGTACTTTGATATGATTATGAGTGGCAGTCAATTGTGCTCGAAACGTTGTCATTAGTTAATATCACTGTATAACGAACACTGTGTGATTTCATCAAAATAAAATCTTATGTATAATAGAGTTAGTGCCTACTGGTTGAGAGATAACTCATTTTTAAGTGGAATTTATAATATTACTACGTTAACTAACTACAAAGCATCGTTGTGGTGGATTCGTACTAGGAATGGACATGACACAGGAGACTGAGTATTTCGTTTCTGTATAATCAATCAATTGGTGTAACTGTAGGAGTAAAAGTGACCTATTAAATTTAGTATCTTTATTTAATGAAATTATTCACACCTCATCTTCAACGTAGCATGTGCACAGTTCTTCAGTGTTGTGCTACTTCTACCGTTGCTTCATACTGTGTGCGTTTCTTTGTGTTCCTTCCATGTCTCCCATGTATCTTTGCAACGCTATCTCATTTGCTTTCTCTGAGGTCAAATGTATCTCCCTGCTATTTGATGTTTTTATGTTGTTTAATGTCTGTTTATATACTGCTGACAAATCTTATCAGTAGCATATACCACACTGGGAATTCATGAATAATTCAGATAACTTCATTTCATATTGAAGTCTGCATTGAAGTTGTTGTCTAGACAGGAACAATGAAAGTTTGGTTGTTAAACCAACCCCTGTTCAGAAAATACAACCACAACGGAATTATCCATCTAAGCTACAAATCTTCTTTTATTATTTCAGAATTCAAAATAGTTTCAATAAATATATCTATAATTTTTGATTGTACATAAGGCTGTTCGACTAGTCTCTGTGTTTTTTAAAATCATACGTCAAAGAGATGACCACGGACACCACCACGTATATAACCTGTTTCAACATTTTTTGTAAACTTTGGGAAAACAGAACGCAGACATGTTTAGTATTTGTCTTGAATCATACCTGTTCACTAAACCCCATATTAATAAGTTTCTTTTGTATAACCCACAGTATTGATAACGGAATGACATTTCGAGCACAAGTTATATTGCCCATCTGAATAAAGCAAGAACAACAGTTTTTGCAGCTGTTTGATAAAAATCTCTATCAAACACCTAAAATCCAATTTATCTGTTCAGAAAGAAGCGGTTATCAATCTTTCCTTGCCCATCTTGGTAACTAGAGTCTTTATTCTCTCTATCATTTGACTACGTAATCTTTAACTTTAAACTCACCCCACTCCTTTGACATAGTGTAATTTTGCTTGTCTCTTGTTGCTATTATTTGAGTTGGATTTAGTACATTGTTATCCAATTTATTAGTGACTCAGCGTCTTACTCATTTCTCGTCTTTATTACGTAACTCCTTTACCATTGTATGCATACATTTACTTTTTTAAACTTGAACTGCCTGTGTAAAAGCTATATAAGTGTGATTTTCTGAGCACTGTTCATTAAGTCCAGAACCTCCTATCAACTGACATCATGTAAAATTTGCAAGTATGTTAAAACTTCTCTGTACATTAACTTAATAATAATTTATTTAGGCTGTAAGCAGTTGATGAGAAGCCAACGAAATAAACAATGATGGTATCATACTATTCTGCAAAAACTGCTGCTCTTGCTTTATTGCTCATCATCAAATCAGTGCATTTAGCCGACTTCAGAATTTGCTTGATATATTTTTTTGCTCTGCCCTTGTTATTGACTGCAGTGTTCTAAATATCCGGTAGAGGCATGGTGTCATTTTGACTGAACATGTTTGGTGTTGATTCGGTGAAAAAAGATCCAGTGATTAACCTGTCTCTCTCCCTCCATCTAACTATTTTTTTTATTTCTTCAAATTCCCGGTGGATTCAAGCTAGCGTTAGCTTGAAGTTTCGGTAGCAGTGGTGTTTAATTTTATGGGATGGGACTGCTAATCTCACGCCCAACCTTCTCTCTTTACCAGTTTTATTACTGACTTAGCGAGGTAAAGGAGTGCGTCGGCCGGGGATCGAACCCAGGTCCATGTGCATGGTCGGCGAGCGTCTTGACCACTGTGTCACAGACGCACATTATTTCAATAAGCAGATTACCTGAAGTAATAGGAACCGATCACTTTTTTTGCAGGATAACATGACACTGAAAACATATGAGAACCATTCAGTTTGATCTTCACAAACTTTGCAAATATTTAATTTAGGCAATCCAACTATTGAAATTTAATTAAGTAGTATCCTATCATTTGTAACATATGTAAGACGTTGGATAGTTGGAGGCAATCGGCCACAGGAAGCCTCACCTGACCTAGGTTTCCTGTTAGTTGGCAGTCGTCAGTCAGCAAGGCGTATCTGCAACCTTGAAGGAACTCATGTCCCTTCTTAGATCCGAACCTGCTTCACCCAGTGCTGCAGTTAGAGACGTTACCATTGAGGAGATATTTGGGCTGGTGATTGGCCTCCTGTTGGAGTGTATTGGAAATTTTTGATTGGACACTAGCTAGTGTCATGGTAGATGCCTAGCCATCATGGTGCATGGTGGCCACATTGCAAACTTGACTGATAGAATTCAGTCTGCACCAAGGATAGGACTAGACACATTCCACTAGTTGCTGACTAGTGTCCAATCAAAAAATATATATGCGTAAGACACCACAGTATAAAATGTACAGCTGACAGTGTGGTCCCAATAATGGACACTCAGTCCTCCTAATTGGTATGATATTAGGCTGTTAGTTTGATTTGATCAAATATTAGCTGTTAACTTTTAAAGGGAAAAGACTTTCTAGTGATTAAGGATTCTTCAAGGGAAACTGTGACGTAAGAATGACACATCAAAAGTAATCATTGATTTCCAAAAGAAATTGCTGATGTCTTCTTCTGTGTGTCTTATTAGAGCATTAAAGGAATATTATATGCGAATTTATCTACCAGAATTAAACTAAGTTAATATAGTGGTATCTTGGAATTTCATAGCTTAAGTGGTATGCATATTTGATCTGTTCATGCGGTCAAATGATAAATTTAATAAGGAATTCAAGAAGTCCACATGGTACCAAGAAATGACAGAAAAATACACCAATCAAAAATTGTGCAAAACTACAGTAAGTCTAATCTCATCATTCGGATAGGCAAAATATGCTTTAATTCGGTCGAAATAGGCTAGTGTTAATTTGACTGATCAATATGAGTAGGTGCATACCGAGGAACAATCTGGAAACTTCTTCAACTCTACGCCGTCCAGTGTCTAAATCTTTGTCAACCTCAGTCAACAGCTGTCTATATGACAATCGGTCGGTTGGTTTTCGACATAGAACTTTGCACATATGTACGGCAGTTCAAGTCGCCACACTCCATGTAGCACACAAAGCAAGAGAAGAAAGTAGGAGAAATGCATAATATAGACAGTAAACAGAGGTGTGAGACAAAGGAATAGTAATAACGGAGAACAAAACAGTTTCATTGGAAATCATAAGTCGCAAGGAGTGGATGCATCTGCGCCAATAAGAATGATTTTGAGCCATATCACCGATTGTTTCCAACCATTGGTTTTTACCGTCCCGAGGACCCCAACCAGGAAGTTTACACCTCCCTACGTGGCTTAGACTAACTGTTGTGGATTTCATTGACTGGTGCCATGTTTTGGTTTGACCGTCGCTAGCTCTTTTCCAGCCTGGCCCTATATCAGCTAACATTGCCCGTCGAGGAAGGCGATGAATAGGCATACGTAGCACATGTCCTAACCATTCCTCTCAATCCATGTAACATCACAGTCTCATCGATTGATTTCCCCGCCTTATCTAGCACTCAACGCCTAACCTCAATATTGCTCACCTTATTATACCACTTCATACGGGAGATAGAACGCAGACACCTATGATCGAAGACAGCTAATCTTTTCTATATGACAATGCCAACTGTCACGTGATGCACAATAGAAAACTCAACGAGGCGTTCGAAGTGAATATAGAAACAAATAAGACAGCTGCCTATTATTACTGATGATATTCCTGAGTGTTTTGATGGATTAGATTATGCGTCATACTGCGAAAAGAAAAGAATACGTTGAACCACCGATAAGAAGACTCTAGAGAATCTGGATTTTGCGTATGGATGATTTATGTTTAATGTCATACAAACTCGAAGACTTGCAGGTGAAAATCAACAAATTGTCTGAAGAAGCAGTGCAGCAAAAACAGGACTTCAGGTGAACATGAAGAAGACAGAGGTAATAAAGATACCCAGTAACCGACGGCAACGAAAACCAGCACCAATCGCCACCAGTGGGAGAGATTTTAATTTGGTTAATTCCTTCACTTATCTAGGAAGCATCGTTTTAACCACAGGCGGAACGGATGAAGATGTCAAAGCCAGTCAGCTAGGATCCGAAAGGCAACATACGCCTTCATCAACCTGAAACCGATTTGGAAATCTCCTGCTTCATTCAGCCAGCATAAACAACAAGATTCGGATTCTGTTCAACACCAATGTGAAGTCAGTCTTTTCTTCTATACGCGTGAGAAACGTGGCCGGCGTGTGTGTCACGAGAAAAATTTCCGACAAGTTCCAGACTTTTATCGACAGCTACCTTTGCCAGCTGCTTTCTGAAGATCAAGTGGTCAGTTAGAAAGAACTAGTAATAAGGAACTCTGGCTGGGAACAAACTAATCAAGAATCTATCGTTCAACAAATATGTAGGAAAAAGAGGAGATGGATAGGGCATATGTTGAGGAGACCGTCGAATGAAAGCGCGCTCAATGCAGGCCAGTGCTCGAGTAGAATCCAAGTAGGAAACTACGAGTGGGTCGTCAGTGTGACAGTGACATGGAGGAGATCGTGTGAGTTGGAGAGGGAGAGATGTGAGATAATGGTCAATCGTGGCGCTGGCCAGCTGAAGAGGACAGCATAGTACAGAACAAAGTGAAGATGTGTTATTGAATCCCTATGTTCCACTCAGAACCCAAGAGAATAATAATAATATACGACTAGCATCAATCAGTAGTGCCTGCCACTTGAAAACCGCCACACTTGTTTAGGGTCGAAGTCATCATCGGCGCTATATGGGGAGTTGACTCAGGTCAGAGAACCAAATTAATTCAAACCATCAATGCATTCTGAATTGAGCGTTACTTGAGCGAATTAGCAGTACCTTAAATGAATCATATTCACAATTTATACTTTTATACACTTGGAGGTGAAATTTCGTCATAGTTTCCTTTGAAAACTGAAATTAATAAAATCACCGTAAACGTTGTCTACTTGTTACCACAAATGATCAACTCGTAAAAACAAATCTAATCCTTACAAACCAACCATAGAGAATTAATCTGATGCTCGCTAGTGACTTGCTACAGGACAAAGTTCGTTGGAGTTCTAGTGGGACGTCGTGACCAGTGAGGTACATCCAGTCGAGTGTGAGGATGAATTTCCCACCGACGACTTTGGTTGGTGGTCGCGCCAAACTCATCACGAATTGGTAGAAGTTAGAATTCATGGGCTGGCCATTGAGGAGGAGGGTGTCGGTGGCTGAATGGTATACGAGCTTGTCTTGTAACCGGAAGGTCCTGGGTTCTAACCCCAGTAGGGGGTGCGTACTGCCAATGATTCCCAAACTAAAATGAAACAGCTCTCCAGCTCTGGTGTTCAGTGGTTCTCTAACTGACATCAATCCGTTATCAACTCGTAAAAACAAAACTAATCGTGACTAACCAAATATGGAAGATTATCAAGAAGTCAAGCACCAGACTATATACTACTGATTGAGTAGTATATATATATGAGTAGTTTAGAGCCACTCCAATTTTTAATTGTTGATAAAAGTCTTTTAATTTACATTACAGATAATTTTACAGTGCTCTGTATACTTCACTCTTTTGTTTTGTTTTTTGCATTTTCAAGGAGAACTCTACACATTCCAATCAAATCTTCATCAGCTGTTGATTTTGAGTTTCGAATTCAAATAATTCAAATGCATCCAAGTTTCACTATTCATCCTGTTAAAGGTAAGTCGGCGTGAGTGAAAAGTTGAAGTAGGTCAGCATTGTACATGATATTTGTTGTGTTATCCTTAGAAACTGGCTAATTATTACCTAAAATGTCAGCGTCATATTCTTTTTCATGACTTTTCAGTCGTCGTATGTCTGTCTGTCTGTTTCCGACACAGAACTTTGCACATATGTGCGGCAGTTCAAGTCGCCACACTCCCTCCATGTAGCACACAAAGGAAGAGAAGAAAGTAGGAGAAATGCATATTAGAGACAGTAAACTGAGGTCTGAGACAAAGGTATAGTGATGACGAAGAACGAAACAGTTTAACTGGAAATCATAAGTCACAAGGAGTGAATGCATCTGCGCCAGCCATTGAGAACGATTTTGAGCCATGTCACCAATTGCCTCCAACCATTGGTTTTTACCGTCCCGAGGAGTCCAACGAGAAAGTCTACACCTTCCTACGTGGCTTAGACTAACTGTTGTGGATTTCATTGACTGGTGCCATGTTTTCGTTTGACCGCCTCTAGCTCAGTCGTAGTATAGACTGAAAAGCACTGCACCCGTAATAATAATAAAGTGTATATTTTAACTATTGAGTCATGAAGAAAATAAAAGACAAATTCAGCGAAGAAAATTTTCTTTATCGACGAAATCATCTTAACAGGCTGTACAGTCGTATTTACATATTTACCAGAAATGTATAGTGGTCTATTATTGAGTAATAGGGGGTGACATAATTCCTATAATTACTGAGAAGTGACTTTAGAAGGGAAAATTCGAAGTTGTAAATTACGTGGTACTCAACGGCACAAAGATATAAATTTGACAATGTTAAAATTGATATTGAGTGAGAATATAGGTGGTAACTGAGTGTCAATTTAACAAGTGTGAAGAGGGTGTGAAAATATACAAAAGGGACATGTGAGAGTGATAAACGTGAATTATTTATTAAAGCGAAAGCAAACTAAAAGTAAAATTAAAAATTAAAAAAAGAAAAATCGAAATTTTTTACAGGGAACGACTAGTGAAGAGGTTAAGACCAAGGCAGAATAAGAGACTGGACAAACTTTTTCTGTATACAGAGTTCGCGGTTGTATTGACGAATTGCCAGCGCATTCCAAACGTATCTCTGAACACTATTCAACATGGTTGGTAAACAAAAGGACAATGCAAGACAATTACTAGCTCAATTCTCGAACATTTGGTGAACTCAGGCCACGTAGCTCCACCAGAGTCGTCTTTCAAGATCATCTACAAAGTGAAGCCAATTGGTACAAAGGGCATCAGGTTTCGGCTTTGTGTATGGCGGAGACGCTGGCGATTCGTCAATACAACTCCGAACTCCGGATACACAAAACGTTTGTCCAGTCTCTTATTCTACATTGGTCTTAACTTCTTCACTAGTCGTTCCCTGTAAAAAAAATTTCAATTTTCTTAATTTTTTAGTTTTCAATTTTACTTTAAGTTTGCTTTTACTTTTACTAATAATTAATTCACTAATATCACTCTTATATGCTCCTTTTGTACATTTTCACACGCTGTTCATACTTGTTAAATTGACACTCAACTACCGCCTTTATTCTCACTCAATAGTAATTTTAACCTTATCAAATTTCTAAACATTTCTTCCATTGTGCTGTTGTATATTATTATTATTATTGTTCCCTTGGGTTCCAAGTGGAACATAGGGCTTCAACTGCACGCCTCCACTTGCTTCTGTCTTCTGCTGTACTTTTCACTTGCATCCATCTTACTCCATACTGTTTCATCTCCTCCTCACACGATCTCCTCCATGTCACCCTTGGACGTCCCACTCGCCGCTTCCCTTTCGGGTTCCACTCGAGCACTGGCCTGACGCGCGATGTCACCCAAAGGCCTCCTCAGCGAGTGTCCAATCCATCTCCACTTTCTCCTGCATATTTGTTGAGCGATTGCTTCTTGTTTTGTTTGTTCCCATAGCTTCTTGTTTGTGATTCTTTCCGGCCATCTGATCTTCAGCATGGAGCGAAGGTCTGCAACCTGTTGAAAATATTCTTGGTGACCCGCCAAGTTTCTGATCCGTAAAGCAGAATTGACTTGACGTTTGCATTGAAAATCCGAATTTTGTTGTTGATGCAGGCTGAGTGACGAAGATTTGCAGATTGGTTTCAGGTTGATGAATGTGTTTCTCGCCTTCCCGATTCTCGATTTGACATCCTCGTCCGTTCCTCCTGTAGTTGAGACAATGCTCCCTAGATAAGTGGAAGAAGTAACCTCTTTCAAATCCCTCCCGTTGATGGTGATTGGCGCTGGATGTTGCTGTTGTTGTTGTTGGTTGGTTATTTTCATAACCTCCGTCTTGTCTATGTTCACCTGGAGTCCTGTCTTCTCTGGCTGCTTCTTCGACCAGTTTGTCGGTTTTTGCTTGTAAGTCTTCGATTTTGTGTGACATCAAACATAAATCATCCGCGAAATCCAGGTCTTCTAGGTTCTTCACGTCGGTCCAGGATATCCCTCTCTTCTCGTTTCCCACTGTCTGAGGCATAATCCAGTCCACCACAATTAGGAATATCATTGGTGATAATAAGCGCCCTTGTCTGACTCCTGTGTTTACTCCAAACGCTTCGCTGAGTTTTCCGTTGTGGATCACTTGAGATGTGCCGTTGTCGTACAGTTGTTGAATAAGGTTGATGAATATTTGGGGTACGCCGTAGTACTCGAGTAGTTTCCAAATTACTTCGCGGTCAACGCTGTCGAAGGCCTTCTCAAAGTCTATGAAGTTGAGGTAGAGGTTTGATTGCCATTCCATGCTTTCTTCTGTGATGATGATGCGTAGAGTTGCAATTTGGTCAGAACATGATTTGCCTTTCCTGAATCCAGCTTGTTTTGGTCGGAGTTCTGTATCCAGTGCGTCCTTGATTCTCTCCAGGATGATGCGACTCAGGATTTTACTTGACGTCGACGGGAGCATGATTCCTCGCCAGTTCTTGCAGAGTCCTAGGTCGCCCTTCTTTGGTAGTTTCACGAGGTAACCTTTCCTCCAGTCAGTAAGCACCTTTCCCTCCTTCCAGACCTTTTGCAATAATGTAGTCAGCATATCTGCTGTCGTTTCTGGGTCCGCCTTCAGTGCTTCTGGGGGTATTCCATCTGGTCCAGCTGCTTTTCCAGCTTTCAGAAGCTTGATTGCATTCATGACTTCAGTTTTCGTTGGAGGATTGGTGTCAACTTGCAGTTGTGTACGTGCTGTTGTTGGTATTACTGGACGGGTTGTAGGTCGTGGTCGGTTCAAGAGTCCTTTGAAGTGGTCTGCCCATTGTTTAATCTGTCTTTCTTCTTTGGTAATTGGGTTCCCTTGGCTGTCTTTTATAGGTTTCACTTGTGTTGAGATAGAGACTTGGTTATCTGATATAGTGTCCTCAGGTCCCTTTTGCCTGCTGCCTTCTCAGCTTCAGTAGCCAGGTTGTCGTAGAATTGTCTTTTGTCCTTCCTGGTACTCTTCTTCACTTATTTGTCCAGTGCTGTGTAAGTTGAGCTCAGCGTCTCCTTCTCTTGTCCATCTTTGCATTGAATCATTTTCTCTTTCACCTTTCTCCTCTCCTCTATTAGCTTCCAAGTGTCCGTTGAGAGCCATTCCTTGTCTTGTTTCTTCTTTCTTCCTAAAACCGTTGAACACGTTTCGTTGAAAATTACCTTCAGAGAGTTCCAATGGTCTTCAACGGATGATTCCTCAGTGGTGCCACGTAGTGTTTCCTGCTTTGCTCTGACAGTTGCAGTGAAAATGTCCTGTGTGATTGTGTCCTTCAGTTTTTGCGTGTTGAACTTGCATTGTGGCCTATCTCCAGCTATCCTCGAGGCTTTCAGCTTCACCTTGAAAGTCCCTTGTACTAGATAGTGGTCTGAACCCACATCTGCTCCTCTCTTCGATCTTGTGTCCAGTAGGCTCCGTCTCCACTTCCTTGAGATTGAAATGAAGTCTATCTGGTTTTTGGTGTGTCCATCTGGTGAAATCCATGTCGCCTTGTGTATATCCCTGTGTTTGAACACACTGCCACCAATCACCAAATCATTGAAGGCGCAGAAGTCTGAGAAGAGTTCACCATTTTCGTTCATTTCATCGAGGGCCTCACGACCCATGGTGAGTTCTCTTCTCGTATTGTCTCCTCTCAGTTTCGCATTCATATCACCCATCAGGATTTTGATATCGCTCTTTGGGACGTTGTCCATTACTGCTTGTAGTTTTCTATAGGAGGCCTCCTTCTTCTCTTGTTCTGAGACGTTTGTAGGCGCATAGCATTGAATGATTGTAACCTTTTTTCCTTTTGAGTTGAACCTGGCTGTCATTATCCTGGAGGAAATTGGTTCCCACTGCATGAGAGCTTTAGCCGCTGTTGGTGACATGATGATGGCTACTCCCTCGGTGTGCTCGTGATCGTCCTCTGGGTGACCGGAGTAGATTATTGTCTCTCCATTGTGCTGTTGAGTACCACGTAATTTACAACTTTTATTTTTTACTTCTAAAGCCAATTTTGAGTAATTATATCAATCAGATCAACTTCTATTGCTCAATTATAGACTACTATACATTTTGGTAAGTATAAATACGACTGTACAGCCTCTGGAGATGATTTCGTCAATAAGGAAAATTTTCTTCGCTGAATTTGTCTTCTATTTAACTATTGAATTCAATCAATATTTTCCCGTTAACTGATTGGTCTGAAGTGCTCAGTCTCAGGTTGATACATGCATCTGCTCAAGCAACCGACATGTCAATCTCAGACGGATCACTTCGATCCAATCAATCGACGGGAAAATCTAAAATTAAATAAAATAAATAATAAGACCCATAACACAAGGGGTGACTCCCATGGTCCAAGTGGTCTAGTGGATAACGCTTTGGCGTTTGAAACTATGGGCAATGGGTTTGATCCTTAGTGGGAACACCATCACTCACTGGGGAATGCAGGTATATCCGGTTGACGAGTCCCAAACAGGCCAAAATGCGCATTCAGGCTGGATTCCATTGCTAGTCACCATCCACCAGCTGACTTCAAGTTACATATTTCAACTTTTACAATTCTCAAGTGGGACTGAATAACTGTTTTTTTATTCGCCTCTTGAGCTTGTATCGAAGTAAGTATTCATTAAGGGTTTTAAATTAGTGCGAAACAGCTGTGGAATGTTCAAGGTGATTCCAACCAATGAGGTAATTTTTAAAAAATTATATTTCCCCTTTCCTTTGGATTATTCAATATATATCATCTAGGAGTTCTGCATGCTGGTCAAATAACAAAACTACGCATTGATTTTCAACCGACTGCTTATACAACTTGTGAATTGAAATTTGAATTACATGTGGCACAAGTGAACTTTAAAGCGAAGGTTTGTACAATTATTGGGAACGCAGCACCTGGAATACCTGAAGAGTATGTCCGCCAGTTTTATTGAACAGTTTCTTTTCGTCGCATACCTTTTCATTCTTATTAGGATAAGGATATATTATTACTATTATTATTATTTATCTCATGTGTTCCCAGTGTAACATAGGGCTTCAGAAACACATCTTCATCGGAATATGTTCACTTGAATCGCATATATTTGGATCCAGGAATGCCCACAAGCTTTTATCTTTTCACAATCTCCTCCGTGTCACCCTCACGGCTTTCTATTTGGGTCCCATTCGAGGGTCTGACGTGTGATTTCCCTTGAATAACTTCTCAGTCTGCCTGCATTTCTTTCTGTATGTTTGTCGGTCATTAGACTGTTAGCTGGTCCAATATCATTGTCCTTATTCGCTTAACCTTTCCCGTCATTTGATCTTCACTATTGTACAGTAGATATTAAGGACCAGCCATCAGGATATCCTGCTTGGTGTGTGTGCGTGTGTATTAAGCGGTAGTTAACATTCATATTTAATCTGAGAGATTCTTAGTTTCTACCAAACACTAGAACTTATCTATGTCCTTCAGCGTTGAATTCAAAACCTTAGCTACGAAGTCACTGAGATCGTGAGTGATTTTGTATAGGGATGAATGGAGATTATTGATTTGTGGCTGTTGGGATAATCGCCAATAGAAACTTTGTGTAACAGACGCACAAAAGGATATAGTTTGGGAGTTGCATCACTTTGTCAGTCAACAGATATGCAGTGTCAGCTTGCAGTTCAGCACAGTCTTCTATCATCTAGACATTGTTTATTACTGAAGACGTGAGGATCGCTAACTGCAACTGACTAATAGCCATTCGATTTTTATTTTGACAGTTATCAGACTATGACAGACAGCTTTTCCCTACCGATAGCTACTACCTTAGTATGGGTGTTGGACTTGTATGTCTCAGTGACCCACCACAATGGATGGGATGAGTGTTCCTGCAGGTTATTTGGATTCCGGTTAGACTAAAAGCAATTACCATCATAGTACATGCTACTACGGGGTGCCACCAACAATTATACACCTCAACCAACAGTTGTACGATAATACTGCATGCCAAGCAATCCACAATGGGAAACTCGTGGAATCCTTCCAAGAAGTGCAGACGGTAGTAACACAAGCTGGCTGCCCACTATCTCCAATGATTTTCCTAAGTGCGGTAGACTGGATAATGCGACAGACAGAGGCGGGCAACGAGGAGACAGGCGTTAAATGGACCCACACAAAAAACTTAGAGGATCCGGATCCGATGATATACGTCTGATTTCCCACAAACTAGAAGATATGCAAGTGAAAAGCAACAAGTTGGCAGAAGAAGCATCCAGAGAAGATAAGCCTTCAGGTGAACATAGAGACAACAGAGGTAGGTGATGAAGATTACTGGCCAATAGCAACAGCGAATGCAGCAACAACAGACAACAATCAGCATAAATGGTAGAAATCTGAAAGAAGCGACCTCCTTTACCTACCCACCTATTTACCTGGAAAGCATCGTTTCAACTACAGGCGGAGGAACTGATGAGGATATCAAAGCGAGGATCGGGAAAGCAAGGCAAGCTTTCATTTCTCTCAAGTATGTGTTGAGGTCAACAACACTCAGTATGAAAAATAAGATCCGGGCACTTCGAACAAAATACACAGCTTCTAAAACAGCTATCTTCACTCAATACTGCTCAAGATGAGATGACCGGCCAAAAAAGATCAGCAACAGCGATATCTGGCAATGAGTGAACCAACCACTCCAGCAAGATCCAATTGTGCAGCAAATATGCAGGAAGAAATAAAGGTGGATTGGCCATAGTTTGAGGAAACAAACAATCAATTGAGTGACATCATACTCCAGGCCATCGCTCGAGTGGAACTCAAGTCGGAGGCGGCGACTTAGTTGGTCGTCAGTGCGAGGTTGACATGAAGGAAGAGCTGACGTGAAGAGGAGATGAAAGCATGTGGGCAGATGTGGAGCCAGGTGAAAATGTTAACGGAGAACCGAACCCAATGGAGACGTGAGGCTGAAGCCCTATGTTCCTCTAGGAACTAAGGGAAACAATAATAATAGTAATCATAGTACATACCGTCTATATTACGTTGTAGTCTGAGGTTGAGTTTGTATTGCTGACGGATAGGGATGTAACAGCAATTTTGACTATATATACTTAGAGTCAACTGTAGTACTGTGAGAATTGCTTACATAGTGTTCAGTTATAGCACTTATGACTGAATCAGTGTCAACGATATCTTCTGGCGATTTTATCTTCAAAAAATGCTGTACATTCACATTTTTAGACATAACTTCACATAGCTCACAATTATTGTATAATTTAAAATAGTAACGAAGGGAGATTAATGAATATAAAAATTTTCAACTTGAAGGTATGAATATAGATCACAAAGGACATGTAAAAACAAAATTACATTGGATTAGAAAATAGTTGCGTAATATGTAAAATGGTGAGGATGAATACTGGCCGATGATGAAACTGGATTGTGGTCACGCTGAAACCGTAAAAGGACAGAAGGTATAGTTCACAAGTCATTGAATATTGGGCCAAATGTCTAAGTGTTAGACGAATTTGACCTCGTAACTTGAAGGTCCTGGATTCGATCCCCTATGGAGTCATCCGTACGTACTGATGAAGAGTCCCAAACTGGATCGAAACAGACATCCATTACACTCCCTGGTTTTCCATACTTCTCTGCCTGATATGAACACATGATCGAAATTGAAACACATCGAATTCCCGTACGCTAACTCCTGAAAATAGTTATAAACGTAGGCACATATGAACGTGATTGTAAGATATCGTGTTAAGCTTCAGACATCTTGTTATAAATTAACTTTAAATTCCAGTTATTATATTCAAATCAAGTTTAAATTTATTTATTCTTCTTCCTATTTTCAACAGTCTGTCGATAACTTGTAAAGAAGAGATAAGTCATCTCATGGATCCTCTTGATACACAGGATAACTTTAGTCAAGAATTAAGCGTTAAAAAATATCCTTACAAATTAATGAAACTTAAGTGTTCATCCCAGAAATTACAAATTTTAAAAGTAAGTCAAAAGACTAACTAATATATTCTGATTCTAGGATTTTATAATGTATAAATAAGTATGTTAGGGATTTTTTTTCCTTCACGTTCCCCAGTGGAACATAGGGCTTCAAGCTAGTGGCTTGAAGTTTCTGTAGCAGTGTTTATTCTTATAGGATGGGTTTGCTAGCCTCATGCCCAACCTTTCCTCTTCACCAGCATTATTTCTGGCTTAGCAAGGTAAGGGAGTGCGTCGGCCGGGGATTGAACCCCGGACCATGTGCATGGTCGGCGAGCGTCCTAACCGCTATGCCACCGACGCTATGTTAGGGATATTATAAGTTTACAGACTGTGTTGTTTCGTTGTTGGCTGGATGTGTTTCTTTTGAACACGGAGATCCCTAGTTGTTTTAAGCGAATTGTAATGTGCTCTACTGTCTGTGGTGTTTATTATCTCCAATGGTCTTTAGTAACTTATTCAGTATCCGATATATGATAGAGGAAGACCTTTCAATGCTATTTTTGTAGCCGCTTTTGAAGGAGGTGGTCTTGTAGTGACCCATTTTATTATTCATCATCGTATTATTTATACTTTCACTATGTATTTGGACTTCTTTGATTTGTTTATCACTCTAAAGATTGCATGATAATAACTGGATACATTGTACTTGCTCGACTTTTGAATTTTGACTACTGCGAGAATACACGTTCGTACTCTTTCTCAAGTGCCTTTTGATTTACGTTGTGGATGTCGAGTAATCACAAGGTTAGGACATAATAATAAACGCAAAGAAGGACTAGTGTGGTGAGAGCTGTCTGCTAGCCAGAATTGGTAGACAGCAATTTGCGTCAATGTTTACGTCCCAAATCTTGGTCATGAGAAGAAAACTAGACCAATGACTAGCTCAACAACCAATCAAAGCAGACTTAGTGTGGGCGGATACGATTCGCAGATATATGGCCTGACTTTCTAAGAAACGTTAACAAAGAGATGACAGAATAACCTTGAGCAGGAAAACAACCAATAAGAAGACGTTGCCTCTCTGCTAACAATAACGCTAATAATGATGTACATAAAAATCTATAATCTATAATCTATCATGGGCCATTGGATCGGGTCCCAGTGGCTTAATGGTATACGAACTCTCCTTGTAACCAGAAGGTCCTGGACTTGAATCCCAGTGGGTGCGTACTGATGAAGAGTCCCAAACTAGGACGAAACAGCTGTAATCCTGTAACCAATCAACTAAATCCTTACAAATCAATACTTGACTATAAATATCTGTTGGTTTTCTCAACAAACGATCTGTTACCTGGTCATTGTCTTCTGCTGTTACACTAGGATATATGTGTACGCTAGTTTGGTCAAATAGAGCAACAAAACAATCTAATGTAGAACTATTGCTGGTTTTAACTACACCTTTACTCAGCCACACAGTTCTCAGTGCAACGGCCAATATAACTGGCCTCCCAGGAGTAATTCGATTGTTAGATATAGTCAGAGATGGTTGGCTCAGATACTTTGTCATTCAGTTTCGGAATCACAACCGGTCGTGTGGAAAACATAAGCTATAGATTATCGGCATTAAACCCTCTTTGAATTGATTTTCTTAACTTCCTGGTGATTATTTCGCTTCGTTCATCATCTTTGAATTATAGTCGCAGATATAAAGGCTTTTTATTAACAGAATTCGTCACTTCGATGTTTGAGTATCGCAGTGAATAACGTCATGCCCACTGAAACTGGGATGCAGTACACATTGTTTCCATCCAATGAATTATCAAAGAGAACAGTTGTAGCTTAAGTGAAAAAAAGATTTCTGAAATCTCTGCTAAACTATAAAACCTTTTGAAACAGATGTTGCTCACAGGCTAATATAATCTCTTGGCTTCATACTATAACAGTTGATATGATTATGAACAATAAATTTTGTTTCGAAACTTCATCAAGGAGATAACGCTGTCTCGTTGTGTGATATATCCTATAAAAAAATAATATGCAGCCAGCATAGTTCAGCGTTAGTGTCGGTGGCACAGCTGTAGAATGCTCGCTAACCACACCTTACATGGTCCGGGGTTCGATCCATGGCCACCAACTCACTCTTTTACCTCGCTAAGCCAGTAATAAGATTTGGTAAAGAGGAAAGGTTGGGCGTGAGGCTGTCTAGCAACCCCATCCTGTAAATATAAACACTACTGCTACCGAAACTTCAAACCTTTCTCTCTTGAAGCCCTATGCTCCACTGGGAAAGTAAAGGAATACAAAAAAGTAGTTGAATGTTAACGTCTCCTACTACAGCACACTGGGTGACACGAGTTTGAATTTCAGAAAGGACTTGGGTTCCTTCAAGTGTGCATACATGCCCGGATGACGAGTGTTGGGCAGCTAGCACGAAACGTAGGTCTATGGCTTCCTATAGATCGCCTCCAATCATCTAATATTGAATTACATACTATGTAGGCGAAAAATACAATCTAATTGGTGGATGGTGACTAACAGCTGAATCCAGGATGCGCATTTCGTCCTGTTTGGGACTCGTCAGTCAGCGGATGTACCTGCATTCCCCACTCAATGAGTGATGATGTTCCCACCGAGGCTTGAACCCATAGTTTCAAACGCCAAAGCGTTATCCACTAGACTACTTGTGTTACGAGAGCCACAGTTTCTTGTGCAACGGGTCATATTGTAACAACAGAAGACAAGGGCCAGGCAACAGAACGTTTATTACGGAAAATCAACACATATTTATAGATTTTGATGTACATTATTGTAGGTTAATGTTAGTAGAAAATACAGTCTGTTGATTGGTTGTTTCTCACACAAAGTTAACCTTGCATCTCTTGTGGCTGTGTCAGTTCACCTATATGTTAACTGTATCCGCCTGTCCATCTTGACCTTGTTTTCACATGACTAACATTGACGTCAATTACTGTCAACCAATTTGGCTAGCAACCATCTCTCACCACAATATTAATTATTTAATTGAATTTTATATTTTTCCGTCAATTGATTGGACCGAAGTGCTCGGTCTCAGGTTGACATGTCAGCTTCTTGTGCAGATGCTTCGACGATTGACGGGCATGTAATTAGTCATCTTCCACCAGTTAAATTCTAATTACATCCCCAGGCATCGTCGAAGCGTCTGCACAAGAAGCCGACATGTCAACCTGAGACCGAGCACTTTGGTGCAATCAATCGATGGGAAAATCTAAAATCCAATGAAAAATACAACCATTCGTGGATTATTCTGAAGAGTACCAAACTAAAGACGAAAGCAACAGAATAAACGTTCATTTTTTAAAAATTTCTTTGTTTTCTGTAATTCTTTAAAATAACTGTTTGATAAAAGATTTTATTATTTATGTATAACTTGTATCTTCTGTTTGTTTATTTTTTTTGTTTCTTATTTCAGAAAAGAAATATTAGTGAAAAGTTGCCTGAAATGACATGTCCTCATCATTTAGTAAAATTTCTGTTAGGCAGTTATGATAAAATGAATTCAAGTCAAAGAAGTAATAAAATAACCTCAGGTGAATTAAACAGACAACAAAAGGTAAGTAGAGCCATTTCAAAGATTATATGTAGGTGAAAGTTTTGTTTTGCAATTAATAGTGTTTTCTGAGATGGCTGGTTTAGTTTCAGAGCTTTTTTCGTCCCTCTGCTGGACAACATCTTCAGCGCCATATTAAGCATAAACTGAACTGATTTAAATTTCTTCATGAGTGATAGAATCGCGTCTCTCGGTAACCATCTTTACATATGTTTTGACCATTTTCTATTGACTTGGATTTTACACTTTCTGGTCACATGATCTACTTTTTATTAGTTGGTAGATTTCGTCTATATTAACGTGCTTGTTAATTGCATTTCCGTTTGAGTACCAGGTTTTTAGGAATTCCCTGGCACTTCTGGTGTTTCCTCTGTCTAAGATTTTGACATTATCCCAATCAAACTGATGTCAATAATTGTCTATATGCATTGATACTAAAGAATACATATCGTGTCTTTTCACGGCTGATTTGTGTCCTTGGATTCTAATTCAAAGGAGACGCCCACTTTGGCCGATGTAATGCTTGTTGCAATTCATACAATTTATCTTGTAAATGGTATTAATTTTATCTCCTTTTTCTGTCGGATCACTCGGTTTGCATAATATCAAATTAAGCGATTTGACTGGCTTGTATGCTATATCTATATCGAACGGTTTCAATATTCTAGCTGTTATTTCAGAGATATTTCTCATTTATGGTAGGATGAATTTTCTTGTGGTCTTTGTTGATGGTTCCTTGTTGGTGTTTTGATTCGACTTTAAACACTTTTTGATGAAAAGTGAAAAGACACGACATATATTCTTTAGTATCAATGCATATAGACAATTATGGACATCAATTTGATTGGGATAATGTCAAAATCTTAGACAGAGGAAACACCAAAAGTGAAGTCAGGGAATTCCTAGAAGCCTGGTACTCAAACGAAAATGCAATTAACAGACACGTTAATATAGACGAAATATACCATCTAATAAAAAGTAAATCAGGTGACCAGAAAGTTTAAAATCCAAGTCAATAGAAAATGGTCAATACATGTGTAAAGATAGTAACCAGGAGACGCGATTCTGTTACTCATGAAGAAATTTAAATCAGTTCACTTTATGCTAAAGATTGCACTGAAAGGGGATGTTGTCCAGCAGAGGGACGATGAAAGCTCCACAATTAAACCAACCAGCTCAGAGAACACAACTAATTGCAAATCATCCACCTGACCTACAAATATTGTATACTATTTCGAAAGTTTTGTTTATTATTATTATTACTCCTTTGGGTTCCGAATGGAACATAGGGATTTAACAACACATCTCCACTTCCTTCTATTTTCCGCTGTCCTCTTCAGCTGTGTCCACGATCGACCATAATCTTTCACTTCCTCCTGCTCTCCACATGATCTCCTCCATTGCACCGAGAACCCCCTCTTCGTTTGCTACCGGGACTCCTTTCGAGTGAGGGCCTGCACTGCGCTCGATGTCATTCGACGGTCTCCTCAGGAGGGTGTAACCAACCCATCTCCTTTTTCTCCTGCATATTTAATGAACGATAGGTTATTGATTTGTTTGTTCCCATAATTTCTTGTTGCTAATTCTTCCTGGCTTGCTAGCTATTTGATCTTCAATCTGGAGCCAGCCAGCGAAGGGGGTAGCTGTTGATAAAATTCTGTAACTTGTTATGAATGCTTTTCGTGATGTGCCCGCCAAGTTTCTTACCCATCTAAAAGGACTGACTTCCCAATTGTGTTGAAAATCCTAATCTTGTTCTTTATGCTGAGTGCATGGGGTTTCTAAAATGATTCCGGAGTGACGAAGACACATCTTGTCTTTCCACCTGTGGTTGAAACATTGCATCCCAGATAAGTAGAGGAAGTGACCGCTTTCAAATTTATCCTGTTGACAGTGATTGCTGCTTGTTGTTGTTGTTGCTGTTGGTTGGTTATTTTCATCACTTCTATATTCTCTATATTCACCTGGAGTCCTGTTTTCACCGCTTGCCTGCCAGCTTCTTCTGCCAGTTTGTTGGTTTTCGCCTGTAAGCCTTCGATTTTGTATGACAATGATTTTTCAATACTGCTTTGTGACTATATGTATTTCTTGAGATTTTCTGGACATTCCAAAGAAGGGCTGCTGGGTTAAAGTCTCAACAGTAACATTTTCAATCACCAAGGATGCACATACATCCAGATGATAAGTTCTGAATAGTATAAAATACTGGTTATGGCTTCTACCATTGCTTTTTTTCATTCTTTTGAGTTTCATAGTGGAATATAGGGCTCCCTCCTTGAAGCTTTGAAGTTTCAGTGGTCATGGTGTTGTTTTTTGTAAGGGGTGGGATTGTCAGCCTCACTCTCAACTATCCATTATTGCTTAACTTACTATCGTCTAGTAAACTACTAAGTGGTCAGGACTATAGCTGTCGGGAATCGAACCCCGACCACTGTGAATTAAATGCCACAATAGAGAAAGGTGAAATATTTCTACGAAGAAACAGACCAATAACACACTGTCTAGTTTCTATCAATTAGATTATAGAACGGAAAGGTATATTGTTTAATTCTTTCGGAATAACAGGAATTAGGACTTCTTTGTGTCTATATATTTTGCTCTGGAATTAAAAGACAGTAAGTAGATGTGAGGCATAACTTAATTCCTAAAATAATTTTCTTAATGGGCAACTTTGTTCTATGACTCATGTATATAAATGAAGCAAGAAAGTTGTGTGAGTGAGTAATGCCTTGATATGATTATGAGCAGTAGTAATAAATTGTGCTCGAAACGTGGTCATCAGTAAACATTACCTACTGTGTGACTTTATCAAAATAAAATTTTTATCCATAATGGAATTAATCGTGATTTCCTTTTAAATCACAAAATAATCGAGCAAAGAATATTCTTTTCGATAAATTCCTCTCCTAGCTCTACAATTATAGATATAGATATGTGTTTATAAGCACAGAATATTTTAAATTAGTAGTTAATAACAATATTAGCGTTTTTTTAAATAATATCGATTTGTAAAGTATGGTCAATGCTATTGCAGTTCATTAAAGATGCTTAAATTGATAAGAATCTGAATCTTAAATCAAAGCAACCCAAGTTACCAACAGTTCCAAAAAGGCCTTATTCTTACAGATGCAGTTCCTAGGAGACAACAACAGTGAGATACTAACACAGCGCCTTAGAAATGCGGTAAAAAGAGCATTCCCTGCTTCTGAATTACGCTGAATCTGTAAAACCACTCCTGTTTTGCGTTCGGGAATAAAAGACAAACTGCCTAATTTCGCCTCTTCCATGTGTATATACCAGCTTGACTGCTCATGTGGAGCCAGTTACGTGGGCCGTTCAATTAGCCGTGTTTCTCGTCGAATTTTCGAACATCACCCTGCCTGGTTAAGCAAAGGACAAACAAAATCTATTCGTAGCGCTATTCTATCTCATCTTGTGGATACAGAACACAAGACTGATGTTAACCAGACAGCTTTCAGAGTCATTTACCGCATACCAACGAATCTCAATTTCACCTTAAGTGTTCTACTACTAAATATTGCTGAGGCTGGCTGTTGGGATCCATATTAATAAGCCTAATTTATGCACCCAAAAGAAGTTTGTTCAGACATTATCAATACCTTGGCCATCCAGGTTTGAATAATCCAAAATTTTTGTGAAATTTCCCTAATTTTAGTTGATATTCTATTCGCTATTAAATCTTTATTATTATTATAATCTAAGCATCTTTAATTAACTGTGATAGCATTGATCATACTTTAAAATATTCTGTGTATATAAACATATATATAATTGTAGAGCCTGGAAGAGGAATTTATCGGAAAGGATATTCTTTGCTCACTTAATTTGTGTTTTATAGATGTCTGAATGAATATTTTTCCTTTTAAATGGTTGGATGGAACTCAGCCTACTTAAAATGACTGACAATACGTAATACACGTGTTTTCGACGCTGTACAATATTATATGGATTGGATGACTGTTTTTGCTTGCTGTATAATGAACTGAACTATACACTCGAAATGGTTAACCTCAAGACATGAAGTAATATTAAGGCGTCAGGAATGGCGATTGGTAGGGACTGTTGGAACTAGTTTTTATGGCTGTCGTCAACAAGAGGTATCTGAAACCTTAAATTTATTTAAATTACTCAGAGCTACAGTCTTATTCTTCATTCATTTGAGTTCCTAGAGGAACACTGGACTCCAAGTCTTTTGAGGTTTCCATAGTGGTGGGGTGAGGTTGCTACCTCTCACCCAGAGAAGATAAGTAATTTAGAAAAAAGCTCAGCAGTTGCAATGCATGCATTAACACACAACCACACAATAGGGTGGGAGAGGGTTAAAATTCTAAAAAAGTAATCTAGGTAGGTGGAGAAAGACAGGTTGATTACTGAATCCTTGTTCATCGAATCTACACCCAACACATGCAATAGGAATGAATCATCACTCATACCTGAAATATGGAAAATAATACTACCAATCAAATCAAGTGAAAATCAAGTGAAAAACAATGGAACTATCTAAATGAATTTAGGAAGTCGTGTGATTAACTTGATATGATTATGAGCAATAAATTGTGCTCGAAACGTCATCAGTAAACATTACTGTATAACACTGTGAGACTTTATCAAAACAAAATTTACCCATAATGGAACTTCTCTTCTTTTCCAATGTACTGTCTTCTAGTAAACTAAGTGAGTTTTAAAAGTGAGTTGGCCGGGAACGGATCCTTTGACAACGTGAAGTGTAGGGGAGAATTCTACCAATGAACCATTGAAGCTGCATTAGGAGACTGTATAAATGAAACATTCTCCAGATTTCGACTTCCTGTAATACTCTAAAAAATACATAAGATGATATTCTAAAAGTCATATTCCACATCACCAATAAGAGACTCATCTTCGAACCACTTGACATGCTTGTATTTTGTTTCATAATCAAGTTAAACTAAATTACCCTTAACAGCTAACAAATCGGGGTTAAGGAACATTAAAGTTGATATATTTATTAAGAAAATGTATATTGAAGCAGATAGTGGTTACTATTTTGGCTAATGGTGACTACCTGTGGAACCCACGATACGCGTTTCGTCGTATCTGTGACTCATCATCTAGATGTGTCGACATATCCGGTGAATGACAGTTTCCCCAATAAGATATGAACCCTGCACCTATTGATTAAAACGCCAAAGGACGAATTGCGCATCTCGCATTCCACTGCTAGTCACTATCAACCGAAATAAACATCACGTTCATCTTCAGAGATCGTCAAAGCTTCTGTACTAGGACGTGGCATGTCAAGAGAGACCAAGCATTTCGGTTCAACATAAAGGAATTAACCTAAAAACAGATGCAAGGTGCGATATTATAAGGTAGTTTTCCAATTTCTCATATTGCAGTTTATAGAAAGGTCGAACCAGATTACTTATATACATGATATTTATGATTAGTGATGTGATTGGTTACTTCAAGTTCATTTAAGAGGTCTTTCGTGATTCCTGTTATAGTTTAACTTGATTCATGTCTAAAGTAGGCGGCTTTAAGTATTGGTTTTAGTAGTAGGGATGTTATTTGATTGGTTGGAGGATTTCATCATGAGCTGACATCGGTTGCAGAAAAATTGGAAAACCACCTGGGAGTATTGGAGAGATGTTTCGTCAGTTTAGTTTGGGACTCCTCGTCAGTACGAACCCACCCACCGAACTCAAAACCTTCTGGTTACAAGATGGGCTACCTCGCAGACCATTGAGCCACTGCCACCCGATCCGATGGCCAGCCGATGAATTCTGACTTCTGCAGATTCATGACATACCACGACCGATTCGCAATGTCTTCTTCGATGAGTTACTTCCTCACCTTCACCTCGTTACACCCTAGTGGTCACAGCTTCCCGCTAGAGTCCCAGATTAACTGCCTTAGTAAGCCCAGTCGCTAATGAGTACCAGATTGATTTTCAAATATCGGTTTTTGTAGGGATATTTTTGATTAGGCAGTTTTAATCGAATTTAAGTGCGGTAAATAGTCAATTTACTCTTCATTCCTTTTCATTCCCACTAGTAAATAGCCTGATAGTCTTACTAGCATCACAGCCAACCTCCGCTAAGATTTAAGAGTGTGTCGACCTGAAAATGAACCCGTACCACACGCGTGGTAGTCGTTCATTTTACCACTGAACCTCTAACCCATGCATAGATATATTTCAGATGACTTTGCCCTTTAACTATCACCTCAACCATTTATTGATACCTTATTCACAAAATTTAAAAACAGCACATTTATTCTTCTTTTACTTCTCCAGTTATTAGCTTTTGAAGCAATGGTACATCAAAATTTTATTGATGAACAACGTAATCAAGTTAGATGGCAATCGAAATTAGGTGAAACTCCACTGTTGTTAGAAGAACGACTGAAAATATGTCAAATGCGTGAATTAGCATGGAATAAATATTATGTAAGTTGAGAATATCTTCTGCATTGTTTTCTTCCATTAAATATTCCAAAATCATACATATACAATAACTTTAGTGTTTTGGTTAATAATCGTTTTAGACTAGACGATATATACTACTTAAAATAGTCTATCAATAGTATGCAGTATGATGTTTTGTGTAAAAATCTTGAATACTTGAGGAAAGGATGAAATTGTGGAGAAGCGAAGGAATGTAGTGAAGAAGAAGAAGAAAACAAGATGGAAGAAAAGTGTAGGAGGTAGTTGAACAAGAAACGTTTGTAAGAAAAATTATTTGCATTGTAGGGCTTTATTCAGTATTCCACGTTTTCGACCTTCATTAAAAAAAAAGGTTATAATTCACTGGTAAACACCTGAAGTCCCGTTCAGCGCTGGAAAATGTCATCGTTCGATCAAATGACTAAATGTGGTGAAATTATCTCTGTAAGCAGAACAGTAATTTGAGTGATGGAGAAAAGTTGCAATTAAGGGCGGAGGATTTTGTGTGGCTGCATTCTTTGAGCTGAATAATTTTGATTTCGAAGCATTCATAGTATTTCTGGACAGCATAATCAACTCCAAATTAAATAATACTTTGAGAAATGCATCTTGTCAAGTCGCAAATTATGATGATTATTTGGAGGATTTCATCATGAACTGACATCAGCTAGAAAACCATTGGAAAACCAGCTGAGAGTACTGGACAACTGTTTCGTCAGTTTAGTTTTGAACTCTTCATCAGTACGCATCCACCCCCAGGGTTCGAACTCAGGATCTTCTGGTCGCAACGCGAGCTTTACCTGATGTCAGCTCATGATGAAATCCTCCAACCTGCACCTACCTATATCAGCTAGTAATGCCCGTCGGGGGAGGCGATGGTTAGGCATGCGCAGCACGTGACCTAGCCATCTCAATCTATGTAACTTTATAGCCTCGTCGATTGATTTTCCCTCTTTGCCCAACACTACGCCTAACGTCAACATTACTTACCTTATTATACCACCTAACGCGAGAAAGAGATCGTAGACATCTATGATCAAAACCAGTCAACCTTTTCATGTCTTCAACTCGTATTGACCATGTTTCAGAGCCATAGAGAAGGACGGAGCGAACTGCTGAGCAGTACACACGTCCCTTGGTTGATAGCCGGATGTCACGCCTAAGCCAGAGATGGTGTAAGTTAGCGAAAGCAGCTCGAGCTTTTTGGATCCGTGCTGAGATTTCGTCGCCAATCAATCCGTTGGTGCTGATACAACTTCCCAAATAGGTGAAATGGTCAACATGTTCCTACTCCAAACACTCAAAGAGAACCTGAAAGGGAAGCAGTGAGTTGGGTGTCTGAGGGGAAGATAATATCAGCAGGAAACTGAAGCCTATGCAACCAGCTGAAATTGATTTTTGAGAGCTAAGTGGAATGGGTCTGTGCTGCTGAATTCATAAGTCCCACTGAGAATACAAGGAGAAAATAAAAGTAAAGTAGTAACATAAACTGTAATGATAGATCCTTTTTAAGCGTGATACGATTTAATGTAGGCATCTTTTATTTCCCTCTTTTTTCTGAATTTTCAAAAATCAAACCTAGGCAACTTGTACACACCCAGAAGTCCTGGAACAGATATCATCACTTTCATCTGTCGACATGACATCAAATAGAAACAATCAATTATTATTATCATCATCAGTATATGATTTTCGTCCATGTCGTCCAGTTGATCCATTCATGAAATCAATAGTTAACCAGGGACGATTATTAACTGAACCGAAATTCCATTTGGTAGAATTTAGTAAAGCAAAATGGTTGTATAGAGTTGATATAATTTCAAAATTTCGTTCAATAGTTTCAAGTGTGATTATTAAACAAAGAATGATTAAAAGATTGAAAAAATTAAAACAAACTTCAACATTGTCGTCATCAACTATTGATGATAAAAATTCAGGTATGAATTTAATTTTTATCAGATTTGAAGTTACATGAAAATTAGTTTAACGTTTTACTCAGTACAAATCAATACTGACGGAGTGACTGATTGAGGTTCAATGGGGAAATTCGTACTAAAGTGGACTTAGTGTATATTTGTGCCACTGAGAATAGTTTTTAGTCATATCACCAACGGTCTTCAGTCATTTGATCTTAGCATCCTGAAAACCCCCAACAAAGCAACTTAAACCTCTCTACGG